AACACCTGAGGTCAGGGTCAGGTCAGGGTCAGGTCAGGGTCAGGGTCAGGACAGTAACACCTGAGGTCAGGGTCAGGACAGGGTCAGGTCAGGGTCAGGTCAGGTCAGGACAGGGTCAGGGTCAGGACAGTAACACCTGAGGTCAGGGTCAGGTCAGGGTCAGGTCAGGGTCAGGTCAGGTCAGGACAGTAACACCTGAGGTCAGTGTCAGGACAGGGTCAGGTCAGGGTCAGGTCAGGTCAGGACAGGGTCAGGGTCAGGACAGTAACACCTGAGGTCAGTGTCAGGACAGGGACAGGGTCAGGGTCAGGTCAGGGTCAGGACAGGGTCAGGGTCAGGACAGTAACACCTGAGGTCAGGGTCAGGGTCAGGGTCAGGACAGGGTCAGGTCAGGTCAGGGTCAGGTCAGGTCAGGACAGGGTCAGGGTCAGGACAGTAACACCTGAGGTCAGTGTCAGGACAGGGTCAGGGTCAGGACAGGGTCAGGACAGGGTCAGGGTCAGGACAGTAACACCTGAGGTCAGGGTCAGGTCAGGTCAGGACAGGGTCAGGGTCAGGTCAGGTCAGGACAGGGTCAGGGTCAGGACAGTAACACCTGAGGTCAGTGTCAGGACAGGGTCAGGGTCAGGTCAGGGTCAGGACAGTAACACCTGAGGCCCCGGCAGCTTTCAGCCTCAGCTCAGGTGTTGCTGTGGTTTTCCAGAGAACCTGCTGAAACCAGTGTGTGGTCCACCACAGCAGCTGCTGGTCCTGTTTGTCCACCAGAAAGCTCAGGCCTGCTTGATGCTTGTGTTCTGATGGGTCAGGATGGTGAAGGCAGGTCCTCTCCCAGCCTGCAGGCCCTGATCGGACCTGACAGGTCTGAAGCTAGGAGCTGGTTCTTCTCAGGTGCTGCAGACATGATGAAGTTCTGAGCTGTAGATCTGAGATGATGTCCGGTTCTAGCAGAACCTGAGTTCTGAGGAAGGTTTTACCTCCTGAACTGGTTTCATGTTCCAACAGATGTACATCTTTGACCGGCCGGGAATGTGTGGCCAAAGGCTGGAGGTGCATGGTGATGTCATCGATGCCACGCCCTGGGAGCTGCAGGAGACCATCTCCATCAGAGTTCTACGTGGGGGGTGAGCTCTGCACGGCCTGCTTCTTACACAACTCTTCTTTTGTGCAGCAGGGGGTCCAACAGCTACACAATTATTGGTTGATTTGTTTTTTTCTTCCAAGGTTTTAATAGTTTTGTTAGAAATTCCCTGACAGGAGGTCTGTGGAGACTGCAGCTTCCTCCCTGCTGCTGTGCAGCAGACTGTAGAGGTGTAGGACGTCTCCTCAGACACACAACTGTTCAGTTTGATCAACAACAACCGTCTGTCAGCTGTAATATTTACACTGAAGTTAGAACTCCTGATCAGATTGGGCCTCATGCAAGAACATGTTGGTATTGTCCTGGTGCATCTCAGTAATCCAGGTAAAAAATCAAAGAAAAAAAATAGTATAGGTCTTCTGGACGGGTTCTTCTCTAATGAAA